CACCTCTCACTGGGAAGCTCTATAAAAATAAAGACTGTGCTTTGCTGTATCCTTGGTGCTTAGAACTGTAGCTAGTACAGTGGAGGGGCTTAATAAATATTTTGTGAATAAATTATGAAATGATCATGAGGCAAACTGTCAAACAGGTGATTTTCTCTGTTGTATAGAAAGCAGATGGCTAATTTCTTCCTATCAGATGCATATCTGTGACATCAAGAGCCCAAGGACTTTGGAGGCATCCTGTACCTCCCTTAGGTAAATCCTCCAGAAATCTGAGAGACTGTGGGGAAGACAACAGGATGACACCAATTCTTCAAGATAAAAGTAGATGTGCAAATACCTATGAACCATCAGCAGCAAGTCACAGAGGTGGTAAATGGCAGTACATAGGAAGTACGTTGGCTCCACATGAAGAGAGCAGTTTGCACTTTTCATTTAATCTAGTAGTCTAAAAACCTTTCTCCACCCACCACAGTGTAGCAGAAACTCAGAGATAGGCCTCAGGGTGAAGGAGAAAGGAGCCAGGACCAAATGAAGGGAGGCATTTTGCCTGATGCTCAACCATGTGTGCTTAACGACGGGAACATGATCTGAGATGCTTGTCAGTGGGGAAGTGGGTCCTTGTGTGGATATCATAGAGTGCATTTACACAAAGCTAGATGGTCCTGAAGATTTGTTCCACCAAATCAATTACTTATACAGGAACGTGATCTGCTACTTCCAAAACCCCTTTCAAGACGCCTTGTCACCAGACTATGCTCACTGAGCTAAGACCTTTCAATCATTAAGCCATTTTTCAGAGAGAGCAGTAAATTCAAATCTTCACTTGAGTCCAGCCTTTTATTTCAACATTGAAAGCAAACTCCTTGTTTAGACCTTAACTGTCTTAGTGCCAAGATGGATGTACATGTGTGCCCAGTCTTCCATCCCAGCCACCAGAAGTTTCTCCATATCCGATATAGACCCTCTTTGAATTTCTGTTCATCTTATTGCCTTAGTAAAACAGATCTTTAAATGGCCTCTTTGGTTTTGTTCTCCAGGCTCACACCCATGGTGAGATAGTTCCTGACACACTGATAAGCAATAGCTAATGATTTTCTAGTCCTGTCACCCTTAATCACTTATGATTTACTTTCTGGGTCAGTTACTTAGCCTAACCTCTTACTGATAACATTAGCAATGGGTTCTGTACAGGCAGGGCTACAATGAACAAGGCAACACAAGATGAAATTAAGCACTGAGAAAACAATGCAGGCAAGCAATGGGTTCATGAACACGAGATGTAAAAGTCTGCTGCTGCAGGCCACCTTCATAAGTGTGGTCTATTGTTGACCAAAACGTGGTTATGCAGTTCAGGACTGTAATAAGCATCTTAGGGCAATTAGAGGAGGATAGCCATCATTGAGAGCACAGTTGCGGTTGGAACCAAGAAATGCTGTATCATCACTGTTAGGAACAGCATGCGAGATGGAGATAGAATTGACATGGACCACATTTCTCATCTAAGAAAGTACAAACGGAACCACTGTCCCAAGAGGCTATATTCCCATGAGCTTCACCTCAAATTGCATCATACATTAATGCAAAGGGGAACCTCTTCCTTACATACACACACACACACACACACACACACACACACACACACACACACACTACACTCTCTCTTACACCATTTCCGCATGTGAAAGTTGATCTGAATGTCTGAGGGTCACAGAGTGGAGAGGGCTATTACACTGCACAGCAATTTAGAATCTGTTTTGTTATTGCTTGGGAGAGGGTGTTTCTTGCTGATGTTTTCAGAAAGGATCTCACTGTAGAGCCTACAAAGTCACAATCCTCCTGCCTCAGCCTCTGAAGTGCTTAGACTCCATTCTTAGATAGCCTTGGTACCTCCCACCCACAGACAGCCTGCTGCGCCCCCCAGCAGCACTCTGCAGTTTGCCTCGCCCCCTCGTTCTACTTCTTTCTGCCTCCTCCTCCATCTCCAAATCCTCTTTATTTTCCTATGTGGAGCAGCTTTGACCATAGTCAGGCTCCTGCTTTGATTTTTCAAGTCTTATCTTAAACCCCAACACCTTCTTAGGGACACTGTCAGTGACAGTCACTCTTATGACATTTCACCCTACCGGAAAAGGAAAACACCACCCCAAACCCAACCACCATGAAAGCAACACAGTGGGAGACAGAGGAAGGGACCATCAGGACAAGAGCAGACACAGCCTTAGCCACAACTTGCTAAGGGATTGAAGTCAATATTGGAGCCTGATAGAATGTTTGGTTACCATTTACATATACACAACCATATTTTATATAGCTATTATAAGTTGATTCTAATTTTATTCTATAGTAACAGGAAATTTTCAAACAATTTTTGTTGTCTTTATAAAGCTTCTAGTTAAAAACTTGTGTTAGTTAGCTTTCTGTCATTGTGACCAAATACCTATGATAAGCAACTTAGAGGAGGAAAAGCTAGTTTTGCCTCATGGTTTCAGAGGTTCTGAATCTTGAACATTTGGCTCCACTGTTTTGGGGGCTGTGGTAGAGCAGTATGTCAGGGGGGTATTGTGTGGGGGAAGAAACCTATTCACTTCATGATAACCTAGAAACAAAACAGAAAGAGGAAGAGGAGCGGTTAGAGTTCCAATATCCTATTAAGGGGATGCCGGTGATAATTTAACTTCCTCTCACTAGACTCCACCTGTTAAAGGCTTTGCCACCTCTCAACACTGCCACAGGTTGGTGATCAAGCACTTAGCACATGGGACTTTGGGAGACATTTCAGATTCAGACAGTAGCAGAACACAAGACATCATTATAGATTGATTTCTGAAACAGATGGGCCATAACCAGTGATTTGAGTCAAATCCTGGTTCTCACTAGACAGAACAAGTAAATAGAACCCCTTAACGGATGTGGCTTATTCTTTTTTCCTTTAAGGGTGTTATATAAAATGCCATCTGTCAAACAAGAAGTTAGCATTTATTGAGAAATCTTTTTTTAAACATTGTACATTCTCAATGGGATATAATTCATCCATTAAAAAAACAATGTAATTCTGTAATTCCCAGAAATATGGCTGGATCTAGACCTTATTATGTTAAGTGAAATAAGTCAAGTTCAGAAAGACAAATTTCATGTTTTTTGTAGAAGCTGAAATGCTGATCATAATTAGAGTTTAAAATAATGGTTACTTGATCCTGGAAAAGGACATGGAGATACATAGAGTAATGGAGAGGAAGTTTAATGGGTATAGGGGTGCAGTTGGATAGAAGGAATAATTTCTAATGCTCTATAGCACATTAAGGTAACTATGATTGATAATATTTAATTGTGTTAGTCAAAATGGCAGTATTTGAATAAGTATGTGAGGTGATAGTTACTTCAAACATGGTAACTCTGGGTATCAGTTACCCTGGTGTGATATTACATGCCATAAATATGTATCAAAATGTCCTGATAGACTCAACAAAGATGTACAATGTCAGTTAAAGCCTTTAGTATGCTTAGTAACTTAAAGCAGAGGTTTTCCACATGTGCCCTTAACACAAGAGCAGTGTCACCTGGGGACTTATTAGAAGTACAAGTTTTCCTACACAGGCCTACTGAATGGAAAGCTATGGGGTGGGGCCCACAGTCTGGGTCTGCCAAGAAGCTCCAGCAGGAAACTGGACCTGTTGTCTCCTCAGATGACACTTTGGACTTGTTCACAGAAGGAGCCATATGCAAATAAACCTAGAATTGTCCCTTCCCCAAATGATATCACTGACATCTCCCACGACATCCAAATTATCTGCCAGTTAATTCAATGCACTGGCTTGTCTTCACTGGTAATTAAATTCCACCTACTTCAAAAAACTGTTTTGAGATTGCTTTAATACTTATTTAGCCCTTAGCATAAATAGTCCATTTACCCAGTGCCCTTGGAGAAATGCTTGTCCTACCAGGGAAATAGTGCCTCCTGTTGCTCCTGAGCTCTGTTGGCCTTAGCCCTGACTCTCACTCTCTTTAACTAAGGTGGAGCGAGGTGAAGTGTTGCCACGGAGAGAGCTTGCGGTCCTGAGGCAGGGCAACAGAAGTCCACCGAAGAAGGGATTTCAGCTGAAAAAATAAAGCAGGATGTGACATCCATGATCCTACCAGCAACCAACAGTTAAACCAGCCTTAAAAGGGAAGCCCTAGGCCAGCAAGATGGCTCAGCAGTTAAGAGCATTTCCCTCACAAGCAAGCCTGAGGACACTTGAACCCTGGAACCCATGGTAGAAGGAAAGAACTGACTCTGGAAAGCTGTCCTCTGATTTCCACACACACACACACGCATGCACTAATAATAAATAATATTGTTAAAAGGGAGGCGCTTTCTCCTGACACAAAACCGAAAGTGGAAGACCACTTACCTCCCAGAGCTAGTGCTTACAGCCAAGTCCCAGACCACCTCTGCAGCTCCAAGGACAGGTTCTGCTCTTGTGCTGGGCAATGTACTGCTGGCTCCTAACCCCCAGAGCAGAGCTAAAGCCAAAGGACGGTCAAATACAAATCTCATTCCAGATCCCAAACACCAGTCTGCAGCCCTTAAGATGCCAAATGTGCCTGCTGGCCCCCGCCAGCTCCTTGCCCACAGCCCATAGCAGGAGCTTTTAGAGACTTATGTTCTGATGGAAAACACATGGGAGCCTGAGGGTAATCTCGCCTGAGTTCACAGCTGCACCTGGGGATGAGGGCCCTAAGGATGGCTGTTCAGAGGGATTCACACACTATTTCCCAACCTCTTCCTGTGAAAGCCGGAAGTCAATGTTCGGTTTATCCCAGACCTGCATATCCTCACCTGCTATTTCAAGAGGACCCTGTGGAACAATATTCAAATGCCCCTCCCCGCCCTCTGCCATTTGCAGCTCAGATGATCCCCAGGAGTCTTATTTTTTGAGAAGTGAAACTGAATGTACCAGCCCCTTTGTGAGGAGGGCAGGAAGAACTTTGGAGGCCTTTTCAGTGGGCTTGTTTATCTGTGGGTCACACACAGGCCCTCGCCATGAATAGTGTCACGGCTGCCTTCCTTGTGTGGACTCTGATTTCTCCCAGCAGTGATGGCCACGTTAGAGGGGAAGCTTGGCCCACACACATGGCCTGCAGCGGTGGGGGCTTGGAAGTGTTCTACCAGAGTTGTGGTAAGGTCCTATAAAATATCCACTTTATTTATGGGGAAATTAAGGCCTACAGATGTGGGCTGCATAAAAGCTTCATTGCTATGGGTGAGGGGAGAGGCTATCAGCAGCCAACACTTTTACCAGATGTCCTGAGACTTTGGGGGCTGTTGGAAGCTCTTGGGGGCAGTGAGGAAGGATGGGAGAAGGGACAGAGAGCCTGTTGAAAACAGCACAGAAGGCAAAATGGAGAAATTAAGAGTCTAAGTTTGGAGCCAGCTGTAAGGGCTCAGGACTATGTTCCCAGCACTTGGGAGACTAAGTCGGGAGAATATTTAGTTTCAGGCCAGTTGGAGTTACATAACAAAACCCTAAAGCAAAAAAAAAAAGTCTAAAAAATAGCAACATATTAATAGTACCTCAGAGCCTCCAAAGGACAGATTGATCAACAAATCTCCAATAAACATTTATTCCCAAATTGAGTATCTAGGCTACCTTTCCAGTGTGATCAGTTTGCAAGCTGAGTGAGAATCAGGCCACTTTCACCTAAAGATTCCTTCTGCTGCCTCCTCGGAGCCCTTGTCATGATGCATCACCCATTAAGGCAGCAGGCATTTTGTAAATAGCAGTCAATGCCGGGTTTTTCCCTAGGGCCAAAGGCAGTGTAAAGGAGTTCTGGGGTTTGACTGTGTCCACCCTGAAGCTTGGATGACAACTGTGTTGAAAGGTAAAACATACTGAGATGTGTCCAGTTGAGAGAGTTCTGTCTGTGTAAGTGGACTGGCTAGTATCCAGAATTCAGGAGTGGTTAGTTACAAAGAGTGAGTCTGGTATCTTCCCTACCATGGTCCTTTCATGATGTTATGACACCATACAAATGCCCTCATGTGTGTGGCCCCTGGACTGTGGGTTTCCCATTCTCCAGAACTGGGAGATAATTGTTTCTGTTATTATAAACTGCCCATTCTGTGGGATTCTGGGATAGCAGCACAAAACAGACTTTGAAAGTGACATGTGATCAACCTGTCTCCAGAGAAATCACAGTCTGATGAATAGAACTGAGCCAGCCCTTATCTGCATCTGCTAAGTCTGTGATAATGAAATACTACATACCCAGTGCCTTAAAAATAGAACTTCCTTTCCCCACAGGTCTGGAGGCTGGGATCTGATCACAGTGTGGGTGGGGCTGGTTTCCCCTGAAGCCTCTCCCTTTGACTCACAGATGGCATCTTCTCCCTGGGTCTTCTCATGGTCTTCTCCCCATGTGTGTCTGTGTGCCAATCTCTTCTTAAAAGGACACTAGTCAGGGTGAATTAAGCTCATTCTAATAGTTTCATTTTAAATATATCATGGGCTGGGATGTAACTCTGTGGCAAAGTACTTACCTAGCATAAGCAAAGTCCTGGGTTCCATGCCCAGTAACACACACACCACACACACACACACACACACGTACACGCACACTCACACGCACATGCACACAGAGTTAATTAGGTTGAGACATGGTGGCACATGGCCTGTATTCCCATCACTCAGATGGTGGAGGCTGTAAGATTTTGAGTTCCAGACCAACCTTCATTTCACAATGAGACCTTGCCTCAAAAGAATAAAAACAAAGAAGTAAATAAATAAACAGGTCACCTCTTTAGAAACACTAACTTTAGGGCCAAGTGTGGTGTTGCATGCCTATAATCCCAGCCCTTGGGAGCTGGAGCAAGAAGGGTCAGGAGTTTCACGTCATCCTAGCAAATTTGAGGCTAGCCTGGAATACATGAGACTTTGTCTCAAGGCTCTGTCCTCCAAAACTCTAAATACTGTCATATTGCGAGGCATTGGTGGTTCAGACTTCAGCCTATGAATTTGAGGACATGCAGTACAGTCTATCACAGAACTCCTGCGTGGGGAGAAGTGAGCCCAGGATCAAACTTTCAGTGGAGAGTAGACAGACTGACCCATGAAAAGGCAGGCGTTATAGGCTCTAGACATCTCCAAGGAGATTGGGCAAATGTGTTTTGAGCTGGAGGATGTGGCGAGAAGATGCTATTTAAGCACTGGAGTTGGTTGGACCACAAGGCTCATGCAAATAGCTGATCCTGACTTCTGCCACCCACAGAGCTGACCTAAGAGATACAGATGGTCAGGCTGGTTTCTGGGGAAATTTGATGGACTTATTTTACTCCTTTGTACTTAACATTGAAGTACATAAAAAACTAAAAAGAATGGTAGGGTTGCTGAGCTCATCACTCTCTGTTCTTGGGGCCATGGGACCCTAGACTGCTGGCACCCTAGTCACTGAAAGTGAGGGATGATAGCAAGAGCTGAGACATTTGGACTGGCTAGTGTTTGTTTCTCCAAGTTTTTCTCTCACGTAACTGGCTTGTCTGTGTCCCAGACTCCACCTCAGACTGCAGCCAAGCCTCACGTGTCCTTTCACTCACCTAAAGCACAGGCAGGAAGACCGGGGTCACCAGGGAAGGAACGCGGACACAGGGCTGCTTCCCCATCCAGGACGGCACATCTCTCTGAGGTGGGCCTTCTCTGTGGAATGATTAAACCTCAGGGACAAGCCCTGGGCACTTGGAATAAAAGCATAGGAGACAGAGTTTTTATCCAGGAGCAGTAGGAGAATCAGCCAATGGAATCACAGGGTAAATGCTTTGTGGGAGGATGTCACAAAGGTAGGTGTCATGTACCAGGAGACATGGCGGTTGGAAAAGAGTGAGATTTGGATCATCAAGCTTAAGGAATGATAAAAAATAACAGTGGCAACATCTCATATTCTTGGAGGGCTTGCCTGTGTGTGTCAAGTACCATGCTTAGTGCTTTATGAGCATGTTTCCTGCTGTACAGATGTGTAAACACAGGGTTAAAGGGGTTAGCTCACTTTTTAAAGGCTATACCACTAGTACTGCAGGAAGGATACCCCCCAGGGGCCCAGAGAAGACAAAATGTTGAGTGAATATTTGTGGAATTAAAACAAATTGGTCACTGGCCTCTCTGACTCCAGAAACCAAGCTCTCTCAGCATGCCTGGTATGAACTGTGTGGTCAGGCAGAATGGAACAGAGGAGGAAGGAACAGCAGAGTTCCACAAAGAGAAGCATGTAGGAAGTCAGTGACACAGAGGCTTAACCAGGCTGCATTCAGAAGGCTAAGAAATGATGTGGAACTGGGGGTGGAGCCCCACATGAGGGTGAGCTTCCCCTTTTTGACACAGGAGTTTCTGTTTTGGAGAGCTCCCTCTGGTAGTTAGTAGGAGCACAGGCTTTGCAATGGAGGCTATTCGTGGCTAGAAATAGCATTTGTAGTTAGGAGGCTTGAGAATTCAGGAACAAAATCACAATAGCCATGAAAACCCTTTGGACAGCCTTTAGTGTGAAGGGCTCTTGGGTGCACTCTGGGGTCAGTAGAAAGGAAAGCTGTGTCCTGAAAGTCACTGCACCTTTGAAGGATAAAGGAGCACACCCCAAGTAGAGATGGTCACTCATTCTGCTGCTGGGTTTGAAGGGGAGCAGCCCCATCCAGCCACTCATACTGCTGACTCAGAGCGGAGGCTGCCAGGGTGGCATTCTGGCCAGTCGGCTGTTGAGGCAATCTTAGTGCACATCAGGGTCTTATGTGCCCAGATAATTGTGGGTCATCTGAAAACCAAAGGAACTTTCGTGTGACAGGTTTGTGCTTCATTTGTCTCTTCATCTTGTGATTTTAGTTTTGGGGGAGGAGACCTTAAGCTAGAAAGTGTCCTCTGAATCATACAAAAATCTTGGTAGAGGAAGAAGCAACTTCATAAGCAGTTTCTGGAAATGTAATGCTAATCGGGAAGTCAGCATGGTGGCACAAGCCTGGAGTCCCAATACTTACGAAGTAGAGGCAGGGGGATCAGGGAGTTCAAGGTCAGCTTTGGCTTTATAGAGTTTGAGGGTGACCTAGCTGTAAGAGACCCTGTCTCAAAAACACAAAAACAAAACAAAACAAAAACCTAACCAGGAAATAAGCAAAATTTTCTGAAAAAGCAGCAGTCCTAACCTGTCACAACCATGAGGGCTGCAAGAAGACCAGTGTGTCAAAGCAAAGGGTGAGAACATTCTGGGATCTTTCCTATGCTAAATCATAAAATAGTACAAAGGCCTGGGGATATTGGGACAAAGGCCCACCAATGCAGCCACTCATATGCAGACCCTAGTACAGATGATCAAGGTAGCTTATAAACATACACATGACTAGGGAAAAAATAAACAATAGCAATGGGAGAAGTGGGTAAGCAAGAGAGAAAGGAGCCCCTCAAAAAAAATTATGCCAGGGCCGCTGAGATGGCTCAGTGGGTAAACGTGCTTGACTGCAAACCTGATGACCTGAGTTCAATCCCCAGAACCCATGTAAAGGTGGAAGGAAAGAACAGACTCCACATAGTTTTCCTCTGACCTCCACTTGCACACTGTGTCATGTGCATGCCCTCACTCATCCATAAACAACACGTACATGCACACATATACAACAATAAAAACTAAACACTTTTTATTCCTATGTTAAATCCTACCTCCAAGGTGATGGTATAGGGGTTGACTTTTGTGAGGTGATTAGGTCATGAGAAGGGACCCCATAAGAATGAGATTAGTGCTCTTATAAAAGACACCCTAGGGGGTTGGAGAGATGGTTCAGAGGTTTAGAGCACTGGCTGCTCTTGCAGAGGACCCAGGTTCAGTTCCCAGAACCCACATGGCAGCTGACAGCATCTGTAACTCTGATTCCAGGGAATCCAATGCCTTCTTTTGACCTCTGTGCAGGTATTGCACAACACAGGTGCACTTACATGCGTGCAGGCAATGTACACATACACATAAAATGTACTCATACACATAAAAATAAAAGTAATAGATAAAATATATTTTAAAAGAAATCCTAGAGCCAGCATCTCACACCAAGAATGTTGGGCTTTTTATCTCAAACTTTCAGACTCATGAATTGTGGGAAATACCAAGTTTGTCCTAAAGGACTAAAGCTACTCAGTCTATGATAATGTGTCAT